ATGTCGTATCTAAAGTTACCATCTATCTGAAGTTGCAACTTTAGATATATAAAGTTGATCCGACTAAAATTAAGCCCTGAAATTAGATCTTCATAAATATAATTCTGGTTAGGTGCAACTTTATATATCTAAAGTTGCAACTTCAGATAGATGGTAACTTTAGATACGATATTTTATTCATTTAAACACTAGCTATGTAATTTATCATTCAAGTTATCATATATTCGGTATTTCTATATTCGCGTAATTAGTCATTTTTATAATATGACTGTTGTATAATGTCTACTAGAAATTTCCAAATCTAAATTGAGATCTAAATAAAAATACAGAAAATAAAGTGAGACAATAATTTTTATACTAATGTAATATATAATATAATACATGTAAATTACCGGGAATATCATCTGTTATATGCATAGTTGATATAAATTCACTATTCCGTGGCTGTTGTTTAGGTGGATTAATGGTTTTAACATTATTATTTTTGTTATTATTCGCATCCTTAAATTGATTAGCATTTATTCCAGCAAGATACCATCCCCTTAATATTTCATATAATTCATTAATATTTGGCCTATTTGATGGATTATTATCCCAACATTTTTCCATTAATTCTTTATAACATTTAGGTATAAACACATTTCCAAAAGCTTGTGGGCGTTCTCCGTTACAAATAGCTACAGACAAATATATATCATCGCGCAATTCATTAGAAAAAGGTAATTCTTCATATGCAATAACCCACATAATAATTCCAAAGCTATATATATCCGAAGCTGAAGTATAAGGATATTTTTTTAAAACTTCTGGTGCGATATATGGCAAAACACCAAATACACCAGTGTTTTCATAATTTGTTGCATCCTTGTCTTCATAACATGACAATCCAAGATCTGAAATGTAAATAGAATTATCATAACCGACTAAAATATTTCCAGTATGAAAATCTCGATGAACAATGCCAGCAGAATGTATTGTTTTTAATCCATTAGCAGTCTCCATTACAATTCGTAATTTTTCAAACCAATCTATATTTCCAAAATTCAGTTCTAAATATTTCCAAAGATCACATTTACATAGCTTTGTAATAATTAAATAAGTATTGGTATTAGGGTCTTTACTTAATCCATAACATTTAAGAACATTAGATTTTATTAAGTCATTTCGACACGAAATCGCTGATACTATAAGTGCAATTGGCTATATAAAATTATAGTAAGCATATTAGTTTATGAAGTATATATAAATATTTGTGGGTCGTCACATACCTCTCTAAAAATTTCAGATGTTTTAGATTCATTAGATATATTATAAGACGAACTTTCGATGCTTTTAATAGCTACATTGCATTGACCTAATCTGCAAAATTTACCAAATGACATCATATCCAAAAAACCATCTAACCAAATAGCCGAATGAACAGTACCATAGCCGCCTTTTCCAATAAATTCAAAACCTCTAAATCGATCATAAGGGATCCATTCAATATAATCAGTGCAATGTTTAGCGTTTAATTGGTAATATTTAATTAATTCATCAATTTCATTATCACCACTTGACCAGTTTTGAAAATTATTTTGAAAATATCTTTTTCCACAACTATTACACCAACTCCATCCTGAACGCTGTTTACCACAGTAAATACAAATTGGTATTAGGAGACGAAACAAAAATTTTCCAAAAGAATACCAAAATGTCAATTCATTTTTGAATGCTTGTAGTGAAATATTTTTTCCCATAATCATTCGAATAAATAAAATACATAATAAAGCTAATAAAGAAATAGATGCTATAAAAAGAAATTCAATAAAACTTAAATAAAATGTATTAGCAAATGACTTTGAAACTAATATAAACTCTGCTGTACATTTAAATAAAATTGTTAATATTATTATATATATAACATGAGTTGCCAATCGAACAGTTATTTCGTGGGAGTCTTCTGATTTAATATGACTAAAAACTGAAATAGCCGCAATTATTGCCATTAAAACAATAATGACAGTAGCAAAAGTGTATAGATCATACATTGCTGTTAAAGCAGGTATAGTTATTACAACAATTATTCCTCGATGATGTTGTTTCAAGTAATAAAAAAATTCTCTAATGCGTAGATCTAAATTAATGCAACAATAAATACAGAGTCCGGTGTAAATTAACAAAGTTCTATACGGTGAATCCATGTCATCTATCAAATACCCTAAACACATATACGATAGAGTAATTAGAATTGACGTGAAAACAATTTTTAGAATAACCTTCATTTTTTATTTTTCGAAGAAGAGATGAATTATTTTATGAAAGATGGAGTTAAATTATATACTGTACAAAGAATTTGATTTCAACTAACGTAAATTTAGGATGTATGGGTATTTTTTTTTATAGACAATGTCATGTGGAGTTTTGTTTATTACACTGTATTACGTACTAATACTTGTATAGAAATGAAAGATTATTACAGTAACCAGAAGATCACTACGTAACGTAGCACCCACCCACATAGTATGTGTGCCATAAAGTTCAACCGTTTTTTTTTTATATTTTTAATAAGTAAATATAAAAAAAAAATTTTTTTTCTTTACCAGTTACGAAAATAAAAGGGTTGTGCAATTAATGATAGAACACCTAGCCATTTTACCAGGAAAGAGAGGTTAAATCACGAAGTTATGGCTTACTGAAAAGATGTACGTCCTCAAATTCTAATACAATATGTAAATTGCAATGGATTCACTCCATTTTTCCGGCCATTTAACTGACATCGCGCAGGTAACAGTTTGCTGTTAATATATATATGTAACTAATAAAACACTAATTCAAACCCTATATGTTAGTTAAATAGGTTGTAGGTAAATGGGTGTCGAAAAAGCATGATCCACCCAGATGCAATGTAATTCTAAATAAACTCGAATAATATGTATGTTGTGCCCCAAATTAAATTTGTCCCAATTATCAATTTGGACGGCCCAGATGTCAATTTAGCTAAACGTCCTGCCTAAATTAATTTGTTTAGGCTGATAATTTTGATCAATTGACATTTGGGACAAATTGACAACTGGGTACATCATATATATTGATTAGCGATAAATATAAATTCTAATCGAAGCCGTAAATTTTTATTTGTTTTATTGCCTTTTGAATATAATCGAATAAGGGGCACTTGAACTCAGTGATCGACGATCACATGATAAAGCTATCATGACGTCATTTGTTTACCAGAACTAAACAAACCGGGGTATAGAAATTTTGTACTGTACGAAAATTCTTTTGTACTGTACAGTACGCAATTATAAAATTATTTAGACGTT